CCTGAAACCCTACTACTGGTGGCCGACGATGAAGCTTGATGTTGCAAAGTATGTGGCTGAGTGTGTGACTTGTGCAAGAGTCAAGACACAACATCAGAAACCGTACGGGAGTTTAGAACCATTGTCTGTGCCTATGGGTAAGTGGGAAGACATTGCTATGGATTTTGTTACTAAACTACCGAGAACAAAGAATGGTCACGACATGATTTGGGTGGTCGTTGATCGATTCACTAAGAGTGCGCATTTCATAGCAGCCAAGGAGAAATGGTCTATGGAAAAGCTTGCGAATTCTTACGTGAAGGAAATTGTGAGGCTTCACGGTGTTCCGTTAACGATTGTATCGGATCGTGATAGCCGTTTCACCTCAAGGTTTTGGAAAAGTCTACAAGAGGAAATGGGTACCAAGTTGTGTTTAAGTACAGCTTACCATCCGCAGACTGATGGTCAGAGTGAAAGAACGATACAAACACTTGAAGATATGCTGAGAGTATGTACCTTGGAATTCCTAGGTAATTGGGATGAACAATTACCATTGGTAGAATTTTTCTATAACAATAGTTTTCACTCGAGCATTAAGATGGCACCTTACCAAGCTTTGTATGGACAAAAGTGTCGTACGCCGTCTTGTTGGCTTGAGGCTGGGGAAAAGCAGTTTATGGGACCAGAGATGGTTCAAAAGTGTCAAACTGCTGAAAAGTTGAAAATAATTAGGGAAAGAATGTTAGCAGCTCAAGATCGTCAAAAGAGTTATGCTGACAAAAAGCGAAGACCGATGACTTTTGAAGTTGGAGATTCGGTTTTGCTTAAAGTCTTGCTGTGGAAGGGACTTATAAGATTTGGTAAAAGGGGAAAATTGAGTCCAAGGTTTATTGGGCTGTTTAAAGTTCTTCAGAGGATTGGGAACCAAGCTTACAAGCTCGAACTACCAGAAGAACTGAATGGAATTCATAACACTTTTCATGTGTGTTATTTACGGAAGTTCACGGGGGAAGTTCCCGACATGATTCCACTTTCGGAGTTGAGAATCGATGAGAACAAAAGGTTGATTGAAGAACCAGAGGCAATTGTTGACCGAAAGACTAAGAAGTTGCGATGCAAGATGGTCGAGTTAGTGCTTGTCCGATAGAAACACACGAATGGGCCGAATCTCACCTGGGAGACGGAGAGTGACATGATGGGTCACTATCCGCATTTGTTTGTTGAGGTGTGATTCCGGGGATGGAATCATTCTAAGGTGGGGAGAATTGTAACGCCTGTGTTTCTGGGCTTGCCATTTTTAGCAATGTAATAGTCTAGGTTAACCTTTGTAACCCGTTTTGAAATAATAGAAGTGTATTATTTGGGTATTATGTGTTATGTGCTAAATTGTGTGTCTTAATTTAATTAAGAATAAAAAATAAGCGTCAAAATGAAATGTTAGATAAACCCTATATTTATGGATAATGTTGTAGTAGTTGAAACGAGGTTTCCGAATATATAAAGAATGTCGAAATCCGAGTTATAACGAAGAAGTTATGACCTGTCGAAGTTTCGCGACAGAACCGGCACGACCCAACGCGATGTAAATAGTGAATTTAAGGTAGATAGATATCTATCCTTAGTGATCTAAATGGGAATTGAACATCTCATTGATAGTAGTGCAACGACGGAAAGACGGACGGAATCGGAGTTCAGATGAAGGAGTTATGAATTTCGAACGGAGTTTTCCTGTCCCGGCCTACTAAAAATAATATATAAGTAATATACTTATAATATATTAAAAATAAAGTCAAAATTAGCCAATGGAGTCTAAACGAGAGTTGTAGAGCATAATCTCACCTTCGCGGCGATATAGAGAACGTCGAAAACGGAGTTCGTATGCGAAAGTTATGAATTTCTGAAGTTCGGGGCGCGAAACCCCAAAACTGTCAGAGACCACGACGTGGCAAGTGTCCTGACACCTCCGGGAGGCCCCCAGATGCAACTTGGGATGACGCATGCAGTGACGACCAAGCCCACGACGTGGCAAGGGCCAAATTTGCCCTATAAATAGATTTGAAGGGCCAGCCGTTTAGGGTTGCTATTTTCTCTCTTCTCTCTCCCATTTTACCTCGATTTGCGTGCCAGAAGTACCCCGAAGCCCCGGTAATATTCCCGAGTCCCGAAGCAAGTCCCGAGATCCCGAAGATCCCGAGAAGTGCGGTTTCCGAGCCGAAGCTCTGCCCGCAAGAAGTTCGATTTTTGTAGAGATCTTCCAGATCTGCTGAGGATTACTACTTTTGCAAGTGGTAGTGCTGTCCGATCATCTTCTGATCAAGTGAGTGTATACTACCTTTCATAAACGCAATAATAATACAAGAATGTTTTTAGTGTATTAAGTATATTGTTGTTTATACGTGTGAGTGCGTTGTTACTTTCTCCTAACGTATAATTATGAAGTATTTTATACGAGATACGTGTTATGTGTATATTTTGTTGTTATGTGTGTGAATGTATATTCACTTTATTCTATCTTACAGATCTGATTATTTCTATATGAAATACGTGTTATGTGTGTGTGCCTCATCTGTTATATGGAAAATGTATTGATCAAGCATGCTATACAGGTTTTGAAAATATGTATAAAAATGTATGTTTTTATCTACTAATATGTTGGGTAGATAGTTGGTGTGTAATAAACAGATGAGAGGCCTCGTTGTTGTTTTGATCTAGTCATCTAGCGGAATTTAGATGACGACCACGGACTTTTCTAGACAGTCCAGTGGAACGCTAGCAGGCTCATAACATGTAGGTGTTAATGAACTTGGGTGTTCATTCGCTGTATTCCATCCCCCTCATGGTTGCCTTATTTGACTTATATTGCTGAGGAACCCCCGCAACATGTGTTGTCACCCCGATGAAAATATTCTTAGATTAGGTCCCTTGTGTTAGTTATTTTAGGGACGTAAAGTGAGAATAACGGGAATGGGTAACTGGGTTACTGTTGGTTGATAATAATTAATTTAATTATTTATTGTGGGTTGAAAACCCTATATGCTCACCAGGCTCCCAAGCCTGATCCACTCAGTTTTATTTGTATTACAGGAAGTGGCGCAAGGGCGTAAGATGGATGAACCATCAAGGTGTTTTGTTTACAAGTCTGTATATGTATATATTTGTTGAATGACTTGTAATGTTATCGTTTATGCTTATTGGTCTATATCGGAAGATGACACCCCGAATTTTGATTATATAATGAAAAATACATTTCTTTTATGAAATGCGTTGGTAAACATTGTTTTATCATGTTTTGTTTTTGGGAACAAATTTCGCAACTCTTTCAAATCAAAAGATTTACTCTGAATTTATTTTAAAAGCATAAATGAAAATCGGTCTTTTCTGACCGAGATTTTGGGGATGTCACAGCCATTAAATGCATATTTCTAACACATTATACAAAAAAATCACAAACACATTAGGGAATAACTCCAAATTAGCTATAACATCCCAAAATTCGGGATCACAGTGAAGAAAAATCAACTCAAACTCCATGAAGAAATGTCTCTAAATCAGTGAGTTTACCTGATATAGTAGAGAAAGATGGCGGCACTGGATGGTATTTTCCACCAGAATCGTTATCGGGGGTGCGCTTCTTATCTAGTAGAAGTAGTGGACCGGAGGGAGGAAGGATATAAGAGGTGGTGGATGCAAGCTCTTTGCCGCAAAAAGAAAATGGTTGGTGGTGTTGTCGGTTCGTTGTTGTTGGCAAGAGAGTTTTGGCTTCGTGTAAACATGAAAAGCTAGACGGAGAAGGGTTGTACCTGTTGGAGCATTAGCGGTGACGATATTATACCTTTAGTGGTGACACATTAACGTATTAGTGGCGATACCGAATAATACAGGGGAACATTGAAGCCTACCCATTGGATTTACACATAGATTGAACGACTATAGTTGAGTATTGGCTAAACGGAACATGGATCGCAAGCTAGAGCATTGGCGGCATCACCTTTAGCGGCGATGCACACTTTAGCGACAACGTAAAGGACAAGGCGTGTCCGACTTGATGTAGTCACTAAAGCTTGTGATGCTTAAATTTCTTGTTGTGTTTCTAGTAGATATCATAAAAAGAAATTTAATTGGATTGATTGAATCAGGGATCTGACATTTGATACCTTGATAGTTCTTTTAGGATATATTCTACAAAGGTCATTAAGTTTAGAAGGCTTAGTGGGTATCTCCATAATCGATCGCTCCAGAAGGGTCAACATCAAACCCAACGACTTGTCATAATACACAATGTGGCCTACCATTACGTGGTGGATTATGAGCCATTTAAGATACAATAATGTTGCATAGCAGCCCCAAGTAATCAAAATATAAGCTAACAACCTAGATCAATAGCAATATACGCTAATTAATGATTTCTGTCATCGATTGTGATCACTATTTCATTTGAGGAATCATTAGGACTAACAAAGGAACATATACTTCCTTTTCTCTATTCATTTTCTCTCTTGATGATCTCTCCACTTTTCTCTCTTTTTAAATAATTAAAATCGTAATACTCATCTTTCTTTATACTTAATTTAGATATTAATATCAAATTCAACAAAAGTCACTACATTTGGAAACATTATCACAAAACTTACTATATTTTAATTTTTTTATATATATTTTTATTTTGACATCCAGAATATGATGTCACAAAAAGTATTACCTTATTAAAACCGACACATCATCAAAACTGCAGACAATCGGGTTAACTAGTCAAAATTTTAACAAATTGGTAAGTTGAGTGTCCAATTTGAGACAAAAATAACGTAGTATCAAAATCGAGTTTTCGAATTTATTTATTTTTATTAAACAAATTTGCCATTAGAAAAAGAAAAAGACAAAATCCATCCAAATACCTTTGACAAGTTTTGGAGACATAAAACATGGGATTTTATTTAAGTTATCCATCACTCACATTTAACTGCAATGGTAACAAACTAACAATGAACATCGAATGCAGAAAAAGATAACTATTGATCGACTTCAAGGACCTTTATTCTTTATTAATTTTAACGAATTAGTAATCAAAACGGAATAAACACAGTTGGGATAACCTCCAATGAATCTTTCTTAATTGCAGTGACTCCATGACTCTCAGTCATGTCAATATCTTTAGGACTTAATCCATTAGGAAGTTGCCAATTGAAGTGGTATAGCAATCTAGCAAGAGTGAGCTCAATAGACACCAAACCAAAAGCAATCCCAGGACAAATTCTCCTCCCTGATCCAAACGGGATATACTCAAAGCTTGTACCAAAGAAATCGTATGAAGTGTTCTCAAATCTCTCTGGTTTGAAGGTTTGTGCATCATCCCAATATTCAGGATCAGTTCCGCATGCAAGACCATTAACAACAACTTTCATTTTCACCGGTATATCATACCCACCAATTTTAACTTGTTCTCTACATTCCCTTGGTAGTAATAGTGGAATAGTAATGTGAAGTCTTAAAGTTTCTTTGATTATGTGTTTAAGGTAAACCAACTTATGTAGTTCAGTCTCCGCGATTGTTTTCTCTCCTTTAAATGCTTCTCTCACTTCTGCTTGAGCTTTCATCATCACGTCAGGGTTTCTCATCAACTCTGTCATTGCCCATTCAATCGTTACAACACTTGTATCCGTTCCTCCTATAAGCATATTCTGCGATATATCATTCAAATTAAAAGTTATTTAAACACGTTTAGAAAAGTCATTAACTTATGTCACATACAACAAACTTAATAAGTATATAATAGAGAAGAAATTAACAAGATATATGTAGTTGAATATTATTACTTAAGTTACCTTTATAATACGTAAAGAATGAAAAAAACCAACATAATGAATACTATGACGTAAGTGAACTATATATAGTATAAATTAATGAACATATATATACCAGAAAGATCGCCTTGATATTGTTATCAGTGACTGGGAACCGAAGACCACCACGCTCTTTGATGTTGAAAAGAACATCAATCAGATCATCTTCTGTTGGACCAACTGTTTGTCTTCTGATTCGACGTTCCTCAAAGATTTCATCAAAAATGTTATCAAGAGACTTGTGAATCTTCGTCAACCTAGATTTCATCCCAGAAATGGTAGAAAGGAAAGTTAACGTAGGAAACAGGTCAGCAACATAATACCCACTGGATAACGTCACCACTTGTTCAGCCAATTCGATCAACACATCCTGTTGTCTGCAATCATTTCCAAACAAACACTTGCACACGACAGTATTATTCATTTTCATAACCCTTTTACGTATGTGTACAGGCTTTCCAACGCAGGATTGAACCACCTCCGTGAAACGATCGATTTCTGTCGCCCTAAAGCCCATAAAGGATTGAACTTTCTTGACACTCAAGAGTTCCATGGTGACGATCTTCTTCATTTGTCGCCAGTAATCACTGTAACGACCAAAAGCAATGTCAATGCCTCCGTACAACAGAATATCAGCAAGAAGTGCATATGGGCGGCTTGCGAGGGCTAGGTCGTGATTTTTTAGAACTTCTTCAGCTAACCGAGGTGACGAGACGACGACCATGGAGATCTGTCCGAGTTGCAGGCTCATTATGGGGCCGTATTTCTTGGACAAGTCAAGGAAAGCACGATGCGGGAGTGCTAGTCCAATCTGATAGAGGTTTCCAATGATGGGTAGCTTTGGTGGGCCTGGTGGTAGGTTTAGAGGTTTCGAACTCTTGGGTTTTCTGTTGAAGAAGTAGTAGATGGAGAGAATGAAAGAGGAGAGCATGAGGATGATGTTCATATCGATCGCCATTGTTACGATCACCGGTTGAGTTGTTTAGGAGATGTGTAAGGTCCATATATATATAGCATGCATGGAGAAGCGCTACTTTTACTTTTCAACTTGATACTTCAATCAAATTTTAAAAGGCTAAATGGTGGGGGAGTTTTTACGTATTCCCACGTTTATTACTACTGTAACAGCTCTATATTATAATCTTATAAAGATACTATAGAACAAAAGGATGCATGAACCTCAGGTGTTTCCTCCTCTTATTCTCAACAAAAATTATATCTTTTTGAATAAAATGGAAACATCTAGTTCCCCACGTAACTCGTGGCACTACCTTTCAAAGTTTCATTGTTTTTAATTATGCCATCAATTAGCCCATGCCCATATCTATTTACTTTTCACTTCTAATCATTTCCATTCATTAGACTTTTCTTTCCTTGTTTTTGAAAAATAAACTCATACCTTTCAAAATCTCGTAATCTTTAACTACCCCATCAATCATCCCATGCCCATATCGATTTACTTTTCACCTCAAATCATTTTTATCCATTAGACCTTTCTTTTCTTATTAAAAAAAAAAAAAAAAAAAAACTCAAGAAAACTCATCTATTGTTGTTGTTGGCCTCTTGGCGTTTTCTGGCTGCCTTGGTTATCGGAGGGACCTCTAAGCACCGTTGCTGTAAGAAACAACTTTCACTTCGGTTACTATCATTGTTAAATATATGATCACTACTAGATAAAATGACTTTAATAACACACATTACCTGTCATTTAGGGGGTACAGATTACATACAAATATGTTATTAAAACCACAGTAATAAATAAAGATGACGGAGGTTTGTGTGTTTTAAAGTTATGACATATATTTATGATGTACATTTATGGCATACATTTACAACATACGATCACTTATTTGTATATTCTAATTTTTGACATTTTTGTTTAAATTCTTGACATACATTTTGTGTGATGATTTTTGATAATTTATAAAATACTTTTTCTTCAATTATTAATATTTAAATTAAATCATACATTTAATATCTCATAATACAATACAACATATCAAACACAAAAAATACAATCGATTGCATTATATATATATATATATATATATATATATATATATATATATATATATATATATATATATATATATATATATATATATATATATAGTATGTCAAATACAAAATATTCAATCAATTAGTAAATAAATGTAATACAATGCTAATACGAGTTACATTTTCTACTAAATTATAAAGCTTGTTATATTTTCTCAAAGAAGTAGGAACAAAATGTGACAACCCGAAAATTTCTATCCTGTACAGTCAAACACTTCATTAAAAGTCAAACTTATTGTTGTTATCTGTTAGCACAATTAGGAGTTTATTTGAACGTTCTGAGCCTTGTACACTTAAGTGATAATTGTCGGGGTTTATCTGCTAAAGCTATAGAACAAGGAACGAGCCATAAACAACTTGATAAGGAGTTCACGGCCACAACAATGGAGCTAACGGCCGTAAACTCCATGTTGGCCGTAAACTCCCCCTATATGGTCAAGTTTTAGCCATTTGTTTCATTCTTCCTTTCCCTTGGCTGATTTCCTCCCAAATCCTCTCAAGTATCATCCTGATCTTCGTCCCTGATCTTCAAATCTCGTAAGTTCCTTGTCCTAACTAGTTGATATCTTACATGAACTAGTGATCCCGATTTCATCCGTGAAATCATTTCATTTGTGTAGATCTTCAAATTTCACCAAGAACACCAAGAACACACACTAGTGTTCTTGGCCAAAAACGACCATTCAAGCTCCTAGATTGTAAGTACTCTTGTTCTAACTCATTGTACACTAGGTTTAACATGTTTAGAGCCTAGAAATCATAAAGAAACACATGATCCAAGGAGTTTATAGCCAAGACATGTTGTTGGGCCGTAAACCCCTATAAGTGGGGCAAAATACACCCTAATCCCTTACCAAGTCTTGGATACTAGTCTAGATAATATCCTTGATGTACTTAGGACCTTAAAACATCAAAAAGACCATGAATCATTTCAGTTTACGACCGTAATCACATGGAGAAATGGTCCATGGGACGTAAACTCCACAAAGGAGTGAATTGATGCCACAATCACTTCCAGAGGCTTAGACATGAAGTAGGAATGCTTCTTTATGACTTATAGGCTTCAAGACACAAAATGGTAGAAGTACCATGAGTTCACGGCTGTAAACTCATGAGTTTACAACCGTAAACTCCAAGGGAGTTGGTCCTAAGGCTGTAAACTGATAAGGAGTTTACCCTTGGACTCTAAACTCAAAACCCAAGTCCTACAACCCTTAGATGAAATCCTTAGGACATTTAGCACTTAATCAAGTGTTTTGCATGTCTTAGGATGTCTTAACTTGTCTAATTAGTGTTTTAATCACTAATTGTATGCATACATATGTCTTCATATGTTATTAGGATCATTGTGTGTGTTTAAGTCTTCACTTGACACCAATCACTTGTCCGACACTTCCATACAATCCACTCACATCAGGTGAGTTCATACCCTTTAATTAACCTTTTAAATATTTTTTAAATGTTTATAAATGCTTTATGGGGGGGGGGGGAATACAAGTTGAGTCATGCTAGTTATTATATCAATCACATGTGATTAATAACTAGCATACAAATAGATTTACTACACGTTTAGCTGTTTTACCAAACTTATTACTTCAAATGACTTTCTCAACCATTTTATATGTTAAAACTCTTTATCAAACTGTCTTACATATTGTATGTTTCCTTTCGAACTCTGTTATAATTGTGTTTCAAACAAAAGTTTTCCTTATACTTAAAACTATCTTATCAAACAAACTACTTTCAAATCATTTTATAAACTGACATCAAGTCATCATTTCTTAGTTATTAAACTTTTCAAAGGTTTTACAAAACTTCTTTTATACTTTTATATTGTTAAATGCATGCCTAAATATGTATAGTTATATAAGTAATGTTTAAAGGACTTAGGATGGCTAGCTCGCTTTATTTCCTTTTCCTCGTTGGGATGTGGCCTTAGGGCATCGGTTACTAGTCTGAATGTTGTCTAAATATTAGTTATATATCATGTATACATATATAGACATAAAAGTTCCATCTGTTAGTTCAGTACCTTTGGGTTGCAAAGGCACACTTTCGGTTATACGCGTACCTTAGTAGTAACTATAATAGGTATCGTTAGGAGATATCACTTACTATTCCAAGTACAAGGAATCATACAAGAGTCAGTTCATTCATGAGTCTATACTAATACAATATATACTATATGAAGAGATACAATTACAGAAATATAATTACAATACTCGATAACATAAGAGAACACATAATAAAGAGAAACAAGGAGGAAGATACAATACACGATAACAGAACAAACATAATACGTTGCTATAGCATGGAGCAGTTACAAGATCTAACTATACCAATGAATCACAAACGCATTATTTTAAACAAAAGGTGATAGTTATATTGGGTATACATGATCATAATAATGTGGATGTTAACGGCTTGCAATCATTGCAGGGGTCACGTTTGGGTCTAGAATCTCTTGACAGAGGAGCGTTTAGTATGGGATCTAGCCATCACATTATGCCTTATTACTCAATTAAGGCAATTAGTACAATAGTAGTCACTTATTACAAATACTACAGTACTTACACTTTACATACGACAAATACAGAAGGATACAATTCCAGTTATTATATTATTATTACCTTTACTTTGTGTCACATTCACATAATCGATGAGGTAGATTAGATTTGAATAATAATAGGTTGTACAAGGAAAAACCTTCACTTAAGTAGAGGTTCAAATTTTCAAAACAGTTGGGTCTTGGTAGAAGACTACTTTTTATACTAGTAGGAAATATGAGATTTTCTAGGATTTTCAAACGTTTATAATTACTTACAAACATTTTCTTACTTATACAAACTTTTCTTCAAACATTTACAAGTCTTTCCTTTATAGTTTTTACAAATCAAAGACACATAAATACTTATGAATTCCCCAGCTTTATTGTTGATACTCGCTTTCAAAATAACTTGTATTCTCAGGTCACAAATAGACAGGTACGACGACCATGTTTTGTGAAGACGGAGTAGTCAAGAATCGTCTTTTTATTTTGAACATTCATTATGTTGTTTTATACTATGAAAGAACACACATGTATTTAAAATTATACTATTAATGTAATGGATGATGTTGTTGCTTGTTTACTACTTTGCATTGTTTTGATACGTTACATGACGTCCTCTGCCTTAGAACGTTTCTGCCGTTCTTGGTTTTGGGGTGTGACACAAAATTATAACAATGATGAATATTTGATGATAAACAATGCATTCTTGTGACATGACCCAATTTCAATAGCTTGGTATTCAAGGTAATGTTAGGTAATAGAGACATGCCTCAGATTCACCCAATCTGGCCACCAATAAACTGACATAATAAAACATTTCCATGACCTCTGGGTGCACACCTATCAAAAGTTAAGGAAAATTGCAATCTTAAATTGTGATCATATCTCATAATTCATAACTATACATATAAATAACAACTGGCATCTTGATTTAGCATTATACCCTACTATTATAAGGGCATAGTGTATGTTACAATAACCATGTGTAAGAAAATCCATTCAAATTGTTTGTCCGATAATAGCCCACCTTTACCAACCTCCCTTTAACTACACGTCCATGTTAAAAAAGATAATTATGAGTGGAAATATAGAAGATAAAATAAAAGCATGATTCTTAGATTCATATAGAAAAAAGATCACGATTTCATCTGCATAAGATTGATAACTATTGATGGTAATGACATAACATCTCTAGAAAACAAAGTAACAAAAAAAAGATGGTAATGACATAACACCTCGTATAAAATGTTTTCCAGTTACGAGATGCGTTTGAGTAAAACAAATCTGGTAAACTATGAATTATATATCTCTACTTTAAAAATAGATGATATTATCATCTTAGAATTACTTGTGATTG